AATTAGTGAGTTCGGCACAAAATCCGGTTCCCTCGCAACTTGTTCTCATGACTGCGGAGGGCAAAGTCTGGAACCATAATGAAGGAGAGTACGAGAATGTCCTCCTTTTCTTCGACACAGGCGCTCAAAAAACTGTTATTGAGGAATCCCTCGCTGACCGTCTGGGCTTACTAAGGCAGACTACTGAAGTGTGCTCAATGTCAGGCATAGGAGGTTACATTGAGCGCTTCAAAAGCCACGCTGTGAATGTAAAACTAAGCACAGTATTTGGCGAAGAGCTCGAAATGAAAGTTCGGACAAAACCAGTTATCACTAGAGGATTCCCAAGTGTGAAGCTGATTTCTACTGATATTGCGTTCTTGAAAGAGAAGCATATTTGCTTGTCTAACTCAAAACTTCGTGGAGAGAGTCAAAAACCTCACATTCTCGTGGGACTAGACTATTACCACGAGCTGATAACTCCAAATAGTACTGTGCAAACCCCCTCAGGCCTTCACATTACAAATACTTTATTTGGACCCACCATTTATGGGAAAGGTGCCTTACATGCAGAAACCACAAATGACACTACGTGCTATGAAATGACACACATCCAAGAAAATCTAGAGACATTTGCAGCATTGACTCAAATTGAATCTCCACCAAACAGCAGACCACTGACGAAGATGAATCCTCACGAACCCAACAGAATTTCTCCATGTCCCATCGGATTCCAGCAAGAACATGTGGATTTGTTTCTTCTCCGAAGAGAAAGCATCGATTCGAGTGAATTGGAAAACTCTGTCATCGATATCCGTGATCAGCCCTGCGCGGTTAATCACTTTTACTCAACCAGTAGAGAATTTTCGTCACCGCCTCGCCCACATCTTCCATCGCCGTCCTATCCACATCACCATCGTCAAGCCGTCCGCCTCAGCCATTCTTCAAACCTACACCACAAAAAGCAGTCTACATGTGTCAACGAGCTGACTCAAACGCCGAGCCGCTTCATTCTCCAACGAGCTGATCAACGAGACGAAACACTTATTCATAATGATGCACATACATATATTCGTTGCCCGCGGGAGTGTCGTCGACGACGACCCCTGCAATACTGTAACCGACTAACATCCCGGCCTGCCGGCGGTGCTGCAGGGGCTCGGGTGCCTCTCACCTCGAGTGGACTTCTCGATTGGGGCGGAGTGCGGAGTATTTCCTAAGATAGAGCACATTCTACCTCTGCGAGCGTAGGGAACGGTCCATCCTCCCACGTACTCTCAATATCTCTCTTAGTAATAAATATTCCACTGAGCCCACCGTTTTATCGTTGCATTAAAAGGGTCACCAAACCCAAGTCTTCCGCACCCTAGTGCCTAGAATAGTCATTCAAAGATCTACAGGGGGAGAGGAAGCAAAAAAAAAACATTTTGCCCAGGTCGCACTTCGGCCTTTTTTTCTTCGCAAAGATTGCCGTCACTGACGGAAGTTCCACAGCAAAATATTCGCTAAATGTCCCTCTATAAGCACACGCAGGCCCTCCTCCCTTGTGAAAAAAACCGCGGCTCACCGTTCTCAGAATATGACGTCATCTGTCACCGTCGTCGAGCTCAGGGAGGCCTACAGTAACTGCTCCAGCCTGAAGCTCTTACAAAATTTCTTGGATCGATTCAACGTGGGATAGTTTTCTAGGGACATTAGCTTCAACTATGCAAACCCCCTCGGAACCCGCCCTTCGGAACCCCTCGTAACGGTACAGGATCAGTCGAGAACCCCACTGAGCTCGACCAGAGCAACCCAACTTCCGGGGAAAATTTTCGTGATGCCGTCCACGTAGATGGCAACTATGAAGATTTTCTCATGAAATGAAATGCGTTCTTCAATTCTAAGTTGGGAGCACACGCTTTGAGCTGAGCGAAGTGTGATTAAATCCATTTCGAAAGCCTAAACAAATGTTTTTTTTTATCGCGCCCCCTTATAACTTCAAAGTGCTAGGCCGTGAGCAGCGACTAACCTATGTACAAATACACACTTAAAACTGTGTGCCTTTGAGTATCATGCCAACCTAAATGTACAACAACAATGTGAGACTCCGAGATATGTATTACGAAAGACTTTGGACAGTTTTACACAATAGAGCAGCAGTGCGGGTAAGAATTCATTTTCGTGAAGTGGCAGCGACTATTCTTCACAGGTCGCATGTGGTCTGTGGGCATTTTAATATCCAGTTAACAACATGCTCAATCGGTAAGGTATTGTTAATCCAGTTATCCTCTTCAACTTGAACCAAAGCGCTTCTAAGTTCTCTATAAAGTATTCTTTTGATTACTTGCAGTATGGCACCCTTGAAAAGGCTTCGTGATACAATGTATCACATTGGGTTTTTAAACATATCAGCGTTGTTCACTGAATGAATAAAACCAGAAAAGCGACTGACCAGTAGAAAGACGAGTGTCTCAAGGGCGTGTGCAATCGGAGCAATCCACTGTGACTTTGTTTGTGCGCTGATCTCAGAATCTCTTTTTTAACCACTGTAAAATGATTCGCTCAGTTATACGAAGCAAAGGGAAGCAGCTATATGATCGCGGTGATGGGCAAAGGGCTATGGTGCAATCTCCGATGACGCGCCCCATTTATTTCCTTTTGATGTCAAGCGCCAACAACGGAAAATGACCCAACTCGCTCCCCGTGCAATACAATCGCTTGGCCTCACAGTTACCCCGTACCGACGTGCGAAGATAGCAACTAACAAGTCAGCGCTGCCTGCCTACTTGCTGCACTTGAGCCGCCAAACTCTGATACAGTTTTTGCAACCGCGTGGTGCAAGGGCATAGCGGGCGTGAAGAACCCTCGGACCACGCACAACGGAGCCCCTGACGGGGCGATCGCCACAGCCCGCGGGCAGGTAAGACGAACCGGCCGTTCTGAGGCCGTAAAGTGTCCCGCCATCCGTAATTCTAGTAACTATCAGTGTTTATTCACGACACAATGACTTAACAAGAGCCGTAACTTGCGCCATTAGGTTTCTAAGAGATAGTTCATATCAGCTGCAGTCGTGTCGGCGTTTGAAGTCACAGTTAGGATTCTGCTGCGAGAACCCCTCACTTCGGCGCGCAAGACCCTTGAGGCCTTCTTTATTAGCGCTAGGTCCCCCAAAATGAACAGGAAAGACGAATGCCTGGCCATAACCAACGAACTCGCGCCCTCTTCTGACCTCTGTGGGCTCCGTTTGCGCCTCCGGCTTCATGCCGTGGCCCAGGTCCCTCTGAAGCCCCCCACTGTGAGTCAGATTAGCGGTGGTCGACATCAAGCTCGGTCGTTCGTTGAGGTGGGTCTAAGTTTTGTGATTGCGATGCCTTCCTACAACCACTAGGTCTAGGGGACATTCTTGAAGTTTGAAATGATGTTTGGGGATGAATCACACTGATCTTTGGCTTTCCAGGCTCTGACGAAGGCGACGAGGCCGAAACGTAAGCCAAATAAAAAGTTGTTGACATCTTGGTTTCGGTTTCAAGAAGACTGACGTGAAGTATCCCCAAACCATGCCAAGATTTACTGAAAGTCGAACATGGATACTAGACAGTTTATCTTCAAAGATCCTCGAATCTGAAAGGAGCAGTCAAGGCGCATCCCCAGAATTGGCCCAGCGTTGCGGCGACGCAGCTTCCAGCTACGGCTCCGTAGGGGGGGGAAAGGAACTCATTCAGGAAAAATCAAGAGATCTGGAAGAAGGCTTCATGTCAAATAAAAGCAGATTCAGCACAGAAAACGACATCTCCAGCAGCCAAATCATAAGCCGTTGTACACCTTTTGCAAGTCTGAGACACCCGCTAAACCAAATTAACACTCTTGAAAGGAAAACACACGGGATTGTCCAATTTTCTCCATTTTCGTACAGAGTCGCCCTGAAAAGGAGCTTAGTCAATCGACGAATAATTGGCCTGCGTCGGCATCGCCAAAAGTACCTTTGCGCGCGTACGCGGCTGAAAAATATACCCAACTCGTGCCATTTTTATAGTAAAACGTATTGCAGTTCCAGAATCCTTAAATAGAGCAAAATCTCTAGTTCTTCTCTCTCGTCGTAATTCTTTAGCAGTCATGTCCCCTGATGGCGGTCCCTTTTCTACTGGTGTTGACCACTTCTCCCGATTGAATGCTTGATCGGGGTGGATGTTAACGCTCTTCAAGTCTTCGTGCAACGTGTCGAGCCATCGCTGCTTCGGACGTCCTCTAGGCCGCTTTCCGCGCACGTCAAGGTTGAGACCGATCTTACGGACACTGTCCTCATTCGCGCGAAGAACATGTCCATACCATCGGAGACGGGCTTCGCGCATTTTATCAACAATCGGAGCTACACCGAATCGCTCCCTGATGACATCATTACGAATGCGATCTAATCGTGTGACTCCGGCTGTCCAGCGGAGCATCTTTGTCTCCATCACACCGAGACGGGCTTCAACTTCTTTGGTCGCAGGCCAGCACTCAGCACCGTAAATGGCGACCGGCCGGATGACGGTTCTATAGATCTTGGATTTGAGACGCTCAGGTATATTCTTATCGCAGAGAACGCCAGTCATCGAGCGCCATTTCAACCAGGCTGCATTCACGCGAGAATTCGTTTCCACGACGACCAGGCTGCCGTCATGCCAACATTGCTGATCCCAGATACTTGAATGTTGTTTGTACACGTGTGAGCTCAGTACCATTGATCTTAATAGAGCCTGGCTCACTCGGATCGGTGGTCAAGTACTCTGTCTTTTTGACATTCAACCTGAGTCCGAACATAGCTAGACGGTCGGACCAGGTTTGCACCTGTTGCTCAAGCGTGCTTTTATCTTCGCTAGCGAGCATCACGTCATCAGCATAAAGAAGCGTCCATGGTACCGGCTTCTGGAGATCTTTTGTAATGGCATCCATGACGACAACAAATAGCAGTGGGGATAACGCAGAGCCTTGGTGTACTCCGACAGAGATGGGAAAATCCGTCGATGTGCCCGCGGCCGTTTGCACTCGGCTCTTTGGACTCGAGTACAGGATGCGCACCCACTCAATAAGCTCTTCGGGAACGCCATGCTGTCGTAAAGCATACCATATAACGTCACGTGGAACGCGATCGAAAGCCTTCTCCAAGTCTAGAAAGGCAAGATGTATCGGCTTTTGTTTTCGCGATGCTTTTCTAGCAGAAGGCGAGCGGCGTGTATGGCATCGATGGTGCTGCAACCAGCAACAAAACCACACTGGTTGGTGGTCAGCTCGACGACGTCACGGATACGACTGTCTACAATTCGCTCAAAGATTTTCATGCTATGCGAGAGCAGGCGAATTGGACGGTAGCTAGTGCAGTCCGCAGGACTGCCTTTTTTCTTCCAGATTGGAATCGTCGTGCTCTGTTGCCAGCTCTCAGGCACCTTCTTCTCTGCAACGACCTGGTTGAAGAACTCCGTCAACCACTGTGCAGGATTCCAGCACTTTGATTTCCACAAGTCCGCCGCTAAGTCGTCAAGGAACCACGGCGCATTCTCTATTCATCTTCTTCATGGCCGTAATGGTCTCCTCCATGGTTATCTTCTGAACGGGGCCGTGTACTGGCGGAGCGCAAGGGATGGCGGGATGAGCAAATTCGACTGTTGAGATGTTCTCGAAGTATTCACACCATCGCTTCAATGCTTTCTCGCGGTCCGTCAGAAGGTGACCATTCGCATCATTTATGCCGAAGAACTTTTCTATATCCTCGGTCTGGCGATAGCGGGTCTTTGCGAGTCGGTAAATGTACCGTTCACCACCGCC